TTGTTATCCCTCAAATGAACAAACAGAGCATTGGATTCCTGGCCTGTCCTAACACTATATTTATGTTGTTTAAGTCTAGTTACAAGATCTTTACCTGTCTGGCCTAAGTAAAACATATTACATTCCTTGCAAGGAACTTTTTAAATGCAACCAATTGTGTTGTTGGGGGAGTTCTTGATTAACATTTGTTTAACAGTGCATGAGTTTTTAAATGCCACATTGACGTTCCAGATTTTTAGTTGTAAAGGAATTTGACTACCGATCGTTGCGGTGCTATTTAAAGATTAGTAGGGTCATTCCCTAATACCTGACCATTGTGGACCTGATCTCACCCTCCTCTGTATATATACACCTTGTTTTGTACTTTTCCTTAGTCTGTACTCACCCCTGAAGATGTGAATTACACGAAAGCGCTTGGGAACTTCGTGTTTTCCTCCTTGCTTGTGGTTATCAGCACATACCTGGATCACGCGCAACTTGCTATATATATATATATATATATATATATATATATATATATATATATATATATATATATATATATATATATATATATATATATATATATATATATATATATATGTATATATATATATATATAAATATATATATATATATAATTTAACTCTACTCAACAAATGCAAGGGTGTTGCCCCGTGAGAGTTACCTTGGGCCTCCATGTGCCCAGGTGGGATGGTCATGTAATTTAAGGTTTTTGAAATATGTAGTTAAATTAAACACGATTTTTCATATAGTTACGCGAATGATTGGAAAAAGATATAGATGGGGTGTGGTGGAATCATCGTGGTCTGGCCTCAAGCGCTGTAAACGACATGTGGATTCACTGGGTGGTTTGGAAGTGTTTATTTCCATTCATACTTTCGTAACTACAACCTACAGTATGGTAATTTTTTCTTCGTGTTCATATATAATGAAGATAATGCAGTGTATAAAATGCCATATACAATATTTATACATAATATCATCTATACAACCGTACTATGACTATGTTGTTCATGCCTGTGTTGCCTCGTGATAGTTAGAGTGGGCCCCCGTCCAGAAAGGACACTGTACTAACCTCCAGCACCGACCCAGGTGGGCTAGAGAATATGGTTTCCGAGTGTACATTCACAAGTGTATTTTTGTAACTTGGTGGAAATCTACCTGACTGTTGTATGGTCTGTTCGCTGATACCGATCGTCGTGAAATTACCGGAGACTGATCGGACAGCTAGTAATAATTCGACGACACCTGGCCCCTGGTAACCAGTTGTCTTATGTGAGTTTCTTACTCCCGTCATAACAAATGGATTTGTTCACACGATCGAGGTGTCTGGCAGACTGTGCCATGCGGCGTGTGTGTGGGGGAGGCATTTCGTCTGTGCGCACCATTACATTCAATTTAGGTTGAAATAATTATTAAAGAGATACTTAATTAGAAGTCATAGCTGAGAGGGTTCCTGGTAGGAGAGAGGGTTAGTCTTGGTTCCAGACAGCAGGGCGGTGGGAGGGAAGTGCTAAGTCAATTTTTCCTCTCATTCCTACCTATCATCACTGTCATGTTATATTGGCAAGCCTTTAGTATAATCAAGTGCCGCATTTGAGGTATTAACTTTACATATTACAGGGTACTTAAGAAATTTTAAAGAGAACAGAAAACACTACATGGACTCTCTCCCCCTGACTGACGGACGCACACACACACACACTACATCATCAGACCCCTCATACACCATCTGTGAGGGAACTACTACATCATCAGGCCCCTCGTAACACCATCTGTGAGGGAATTACTACACCACATCAGGCCCCTCATACACCATCTGTGATGGAATTACTACATCATCAGGCCCCTCATACACCATCTGTGAGGGAACTACTACATCATCAGGCCCCTTATAACACCACCTGTGAGGGAACTAGTACTTCACGTGATGCCCCTCATAACGCCATCAGTGAGGGAGTTACTACACTACGTGTCTGCTGTTCAACACCTCAGCTCACATGATCTACGTGTGTAAACATTAATCTGTATGTTCACTGTATGTTCCTTCACCTTTCTCTAATGAAGGCTTTTGTTAAACCACCAATGTATGTAATAAGTCATTTATGTCCAATGTATATTTTCAGCCTTCGGGCTGCAAACTTTTTCAATAAACCGTTTATTATTATTATTATTATTATTATTATTATTATTATTATTATTATTACAGTTTAAGCATTGCTTGGTTTCGGTGTGTGCTCTAGTTGGCCTTGGCTCTACGTTCCAATTTAAAAAATTGGTTCGAGTACACTACTGTATGTTATATCCAGTCCAGTGCCCCTCCTTATCAATGACTTGGCGCAAACGACGCAGCTCAAAAGACACCATGTTACAGGAGCTGCCATGCACAGGCCAACGTGCCTATTGCAGACTCCTTATTTTCTTATGTTCTTAAGTAAACCACATAAATTATACGGTCCCCTTCTCAATGCCTCCGGTCCTGCCAGGGTATGCTGCCGGAGTTGCCGCCTGGTCCTCTCCTGCTGTGGCTCCCACGAATTAACCATGTTAGCCTATACAGTCTCGATGGGGTTCAGATCACAGGCTTTACTCAACCACTCCAGCAACTGGATGTGGTCTCTGTGTTCAGTGAACCACTGCGTCACTGTTGACGGTGTGGATAAATTGAGATAAAATGAAACAGGAGATAAAATCATTTGTCATGCAGTTCATATTATTATAAATATTATTCTATAACAATATAAATCGTATTATAAAAATGATTCATAGCATTTCATGTATTTGGGAAATATAACAAAACTTTACCTGCATGAAAATTATGTGCTCAGGGTAGGGTAGAGTGTATGCTCGGATTGTTGGCAGCACGATCACCTCTTAAAAAAATTCCAAATATTGCTCTGTGGTGAATCTTTCATTTATCTCCACCAACTCTCCCACACTGTTGAGGATGATCCAGCCCCACATGTTTACAGCCACAAGGCTTCTAGATAAACATGCTGCCTGTCGTAACGGGTGTTATCAGGTCTCCACCAGTGAAGACGGCCGTAGTTGGTAGAGCTGAAAGTTTTTTCATCAGAGAAAATAACTCTTGCCCAGATGTCCAGGTCCTTCCCCACATCCTGCTTAGGGAACTGTAGTCTCCCATCCCGGCGTTGTTTTTCGACCTTTCCTTGACAGCAAGGACCCACTGGAGTCTCAATTCCATGGAGTCGTCCTTAACTGCCCTAGCGAAGACCTGAAACTGCAGCTGCTCCGTTGTTACCACCGCTTTGGTGAAAGTATGGTTACCAATGTCTGCCACAATCCAAGCTTCGTCTGCTGCTCTGGTCAGTCTAGGGTTCGAGGCCGTCCAGATCTGGGAAAATCTGTTAAATTACCAGACTTTTCAAACCGTTATAACCAACACCATGCTTTCGATCTCGAGACTCCCATCTGCCTTGCGATCTCACTGATACTTAAACCCGTTGGGCGATATCGTGGTGTTGGTCTCCCATGGTTGTAATTAGTGGAATGACCGAGCGGTTGCTGTATGACCATTGACCACGTTATAACCTCGGATAAGTTAAAGGTTGTCTTGAATGAGTTGAACTGTCCCGAGAATCGTCACTTCCATATTACAATAAACTATCATGTGCAATATTGTGAGATTGGCGTCATTAATAACATCAATAAAAGCAATAGGATACGGATAATATACTAACCGCCACTCCCTTTCGGCTACCAGTCTCCATTATGAACCTCTCTACTACGACTATAGTGCTTTATATAATATCTGTCCTCCTGGCAATCGCATAAGAGAAATCCTATCATCGAAAAGTGGTGACGTTTAAAATGGAGGAGCACATAGACTTGCTATAGAATGGATCAAGTGTCTAGCAGACAGAATAATTATGTGTTCCTGTTTTTCCTCAATTTCTTTTATTGTTTTTTGTTAATAGAGAGTTTGCAATATATAATTTCTTTCTCCCAAGACAATATTTTATATTCCTGACATCATACTTATGTAATATGAGATGAGACTGTAGTACTTTACTACAAACATTGCATGTCCTTTATACACGGTTGTTTTACATGGATACAAGTATTACATAATTACATAAACCCCCAAAATAATTGTGATACAAAATTATTAAAACTCGAAAATATGGTGAGGTAGACATGAAAGATCGAGGTATTGTATGTAAGCTATTGACTGACAGTGGCCAATATCACTGATAATGTTATGTTAAAAGGAATACAGTATAATATACAGCCTTTACCATTTTACCATAGATCATCGATAAATTGTGTAGTTCATAGAGGATATACACACAGAGACGCCATATAACGGATTGTTCACATAATCGGGGTTTCTAGCATACGCATGTGTGTTCGTGCGTGTGTGTATCTCCGACGTGCCACTTAACCAGGTTAGTCAAAACTGCCTGACACAGGACTTTTGTCCGGGACTGTACAATACATTCACTCAATCTACATCATATTTCTCATTGAACATACTGTATATATTTTCTGGTCGTTTCCATTACTATTATTCACTCCCTCCCACTTCCTCTTTCTTTTTCTCTCTTCTCTTTATAATTTCATCTCTTTCTTCCTACCTCGTCATGACACACATCCTATCTTCTTTCCTCCTCCTGTACCTACTTCTCATTCTCCTCCTCCAGTTTTCCTCCTCCTACCCCTCCTTCTTCCTGTGATGTAAATCCGACTTCCTCTTATTTTTCCTCCACCTTCGTCCATTTCTACTCTTCCTCCTTCCCGTCTCATTTTCATCCCCTAGTTCCTTCTCCTCTACTTTTCATCTCTCTCCCTTCCCCTTTTTAGATCCCTCTTATAACCTCCTCCCTTCTCTTTTTCCTCCTCCTCGCCACACCTCCCCACACCACAGTCGAAAAAATAAAACTTTACTGTAGCCTGAAGGTGGTGCCTGGTGTCTAGGAGTTACCAGTTGGTGGGTGGGGGCTGGTAGCTGCCAGTTGGTGGGTGGGGGCATGTAGCTACCAGTTGGTTGGTGGGGGCAGGTAGCTGGCAGTTGGTGGGTGGCGACTAGCAGCTGTTAGTTGGTGGGTGGCAGCTGGCAGTTGGTGGGTGGGGGCTGGTGACTGGCAGTTGGTGGGTAGCGACTGGCAGCTGTTGGTGGATGGCAACTGGCAGCTGGCAGTTGGTGGGTGGCGGCTGGTAGCTGGCAGTTGGTGGGTGGAGTCTGGTAGCTGGTGATTAGTGGCTGACGTCTGGTAGCTGGCAGTGGTGGCTGGCGTCTTGTAGCTGGCAGTTGTGGCTGGTGACCGGTAGCTGGCAGTGGTGGCTGGCGGCTGGTAGCTGGCGGTTGGTGGCCAGCTGGTGCTTGTAGCTGGCGATTGCTGATTGGTAGCTGGCAGTCTGGTTCTGTGCTGGCGATTGGTGGCTGGCGGCTGGTAGCTGCGGTTGGTGGTAGCATCTGGTAGCTGTAGTGGTTGCTGGCGTCTGGTTCTAGCGTGGTAGCTGGTGGTGATGGCTGCCAGTGGCTGGCGTCTGGTAGCTGACAGTCGTGGCTGGCGTCTGATAGCTAGCATTGGTGACTGGTGTCTGGTTGCTGTCAAAGGTGGCTAGCTTTTGGTATCTGGCAGGAGTAGCTGGTGCCTGGTAGATGGCGATTAGAGGCTAGCGTCTAGTAGGTGGCGATTAGTTGGGGCGTCTTGTAGCTAGTGTGGTAGCTGGCGTCTGGTAGCTGGTAATTAGAGGCTGGCGTCTGGTAGTTGGTAATGGAGGCTGGCGTCTGGTACCTGGCATTGGTGGCTGGCGTCTGGTAGCTGGCACAAACGGAAGGCTTCTGGTAACTGGTGGTTGTGGCAAGCGTCTGGTAGTTGGCAGTGGTGGCTAGTGTTTGGTAGCTGGCAGTGATGGCTGGCGTCTGGTAATAGTCAGAGGTGGCTGGCGTCTGGTAGCTGATGATTAGTGGCTGGTTTCTGGTAGCTGGTAGAGGTGGACGGCGTTTGGTAACTGGAAGTGATTGCTGGGGTCTGGTAGCTGGCGGCTGGTGGCTAGCATCTGGTAGCTGGCAATGGTGGCTGACGTATGGTAGCTTGCAGTGGTGGCTGGCAGTGGTGGCTGGCGGCTGGTTACTGGAGTCTTGTGGCGGGTAGCTGGTGGCTGGTAGCTGGTAGTTGGCAATTGGTGGCTGGCTACTGGTAACTGGCTGTTGGTGGCTGGCGTCTGGTGGTTGGTAGCTGGCGGTAGGTGGCAGGCGTCTGGTGGCTGGTGGCAGGCGGTTAGTGGCTGGTAGCTGGCTGTTGGTGGTTGGCGTCGGATGGCTGGTAGCTGGCGGTTGGTGGCAGGTGTCTGGTAGTTGGTAGCAGGCGGTTAGTGGTTGATGTCTGTAGCTGGCGGTTGGTGGCTGGCGTCTAATGGCTAGTATCTGGCGGTTGGTAGCTGGCGTCTGTTGGCTGGTAGCTTGCGGTTGGTAGTTAGTGTCTGGTGGTTGGTAGCTGGCAGTGGTGGCTGGCGTCTGGTAGATGGTGGCTGATAACTGTTAGTTGCCAATTGGTGGCTGGTAGCTAGTTGGCAATTGGTGGCTGGCATCTGGTAGCTGGTGCTTGGTAGCTGGCGATTGGTTGCTGGCGTTTGGTGGCTGGTAGCTGGCGGTTGATGGCTGGCGTCTGGTAGCTGTTGCTTGGTGGCTGGCGTCTGGTGGTTGGCAGTTGGTGGCTGTCGTTAGTAGCTGCCGGTTGGTGGCAGGTGTCTGGTTTCTGGTGTTTGGTGGCAGGTGTCTGGTAGCTGGCGATTAGAGGCTTGCGTCTGGTAGCTGGCAGTGGTGGCTGGCGTCTGGTAGATGGCGATTAGAGGCTGGCGTCTGGTAGTTGGCAGTTGGTGGCTGGCTTCTGGTAGCTGGCGGTTGGTGGCTGGCTTCTGGTAGCTGGCGGTTGGTGGCTGGCGTCTGATGGCTGGGCAGCTGGTAATTGACGTCTGGTAGCTAGTGGTTGGTGGCAGGCGTCTGGTGGCTGGTAGCTGGTTGATGGCGTCTGGTAGCTAGTGGTTGGTGGCTGTTGTCTGGTGGCTGCTGTCTGGTAGCTGGTAGTTGGCGTCTGGTGGCTGACCTCTGGTAGCTGGCGCTGGCTGACAGATGGCGATTGGCTGGCGTGGTGGGCTGGCGCTGGCGTCTGGTAGCTGACGGTTGGTGCCTGGCGTCTGGTAGCTGTCTGTTGGTGACTAGAGTATTGCAGCTGGCAGTTCATGACTGGCAGCTCATAGCTGGCGACTGGTAGTTGAAAGCTGGTGGCTGGTGGCTGGTAGCTAATAGCTGGTGGCTGGTAGCTGGTGGCTGGTGGCTGATGACTGGTAGCTGGTGGCTGATAGCTCATAGCTGGCGGCTGGGAATTGACGGCTGGTGGTTGGTGGCTGGTGGCTGGTGGCTGGTGGCTGGTAGCTGGTGGCTGGTGGCTGGTGGCTGGTGGCTGGTAGCTGGCTGTTGGTGGCTAGTGTATTGCAGCTGGCAGTTGGTGACTGGCGGCTCATAGTTGGCGACTGGTAGTTGATGGCTGGTGGCTGATTGATGGTGGCTGGTGGCCGGTGGCTGGCAGCTGGTGGCTGGTAGCTGGTGGTTGGTAGCTTATGGCTGGTGGCTGGTAGTTGACGGCTGGTGGCTGGTAGCTGGTGGATAACGGCAGCAAAAAAAAGAGGAACCAATACTATTCCCAACCCGGTACCCTTACGCCCATCCCCACTCTCTCCCACCCTTTCCACATCTAATACCCACCCACGGCGGAAACATGGCGCCCAAATTCTCCTCAATTAAATTCTGTAAATCGGAAAATAGAGACGTAACTCACCTAATACCCGACAGGAACTAATGAAATCAACCAGGAATTCAGGTGCATTATTCTCGGTAATGAGTCGCCGGGACGCGCTAATACCTGACGTAACTTTGGTCGATCATCCGAGGTTGCCTATTAACGTATTTTGGTGGGTTTTCTGACTGTCTTATTACGTCCCGCCTCGCCAAGAACCCGTAGTTTTACAGAGAGATGGGGGGTGGAGTGTTCCTCGTGTGTGTGTGTGTGTGTGTGTGTGTTTTATTATAGTATATCTTTGTCTGTAGGGGGGTTGTCGGTGGGAGAATGAATTATTGTTAATGCGCTGAGGCTTTTTATACAAAACACACACACACACACTACTACTACTACTTTACTGTCACTCGGAATCGAGTATGACTATCATCCACCTTTGATACAATGATATGAGTTATTAGGGATGTCACCTAGGTTGGTGAGTTTTGAGGTAACTAAAAAGACCGAAACGAGAACCGCAGCGTCGTTCACATTCGTTGCACATGTGGAGGGCTCCATTTTTTTTTTACGGGATTAGCCCACCGGGCACAGGTCACTGACCCACATCAGGGCCTGGGGGCGAATAATAATAATAATAATAATAATAATAATAATAATAATAATAATAATAATAATAATAATAATAATAATAATAATAATAATAATAATAATAATAATAATAATAATAATAATAATAATAATAATAATAATAATAATAATAATAATAATGATAATAATAATAATAATAAGAATAATAATTCAGAAAAGTAAAATTTAAAATAAAAAATACAAAAATAAAAATAATAAAATAATATTGATAGTATTAATAACAAAGAACCATAAAGAAATACAAAAATGATAAAAAAGATCAAGAGTGAGAAACAATATAAAGTATGTATATTATGTTGTCAATGGTAAGAGAAACAATTGAGACCCTGCAATTGGGTATAAATGAGGCAGAAAGTCAGATGAGCAACCTGGGACTTGGTCACAATTTTCGTGATGCAATATGGCAGCAGGGTCTACCATTAGACAATACATTATGCTTCCAATATCTTCCCAGGAGGTAGTACCTCCCTGTTTGATAGCTGCCTACTATCTGGAGGGGCTGTGGCAGCGTCTTTCCGACGTTGGCGTTTGTCTGCCTCGCTTTGTAGTCGGGCTAACTCGAAAGTATTGACGCCTTCCCGTGTGGTGCTCCTCCAAACGTTACGATGTGGAGTTTTCGATTCCCAGGTGAGGGGGTCGATTTGGCACTTTTTCAGATTATCTGAAGACTGTCCTTATACCTTTTCAGTTGCCCACCGGTTTTAGGTTTACTATTCGTTAGGTGACTGTAAAGTAGCTGCTTTGGCAGTGTACTGTCTTCCATGCGGGAATCCTGGCCAGTCCAGCCTTGTTGTTCATGGATAATGATAGCCTCGATGCTCCTACAGTTGGTGTCAGCAAGAATACTGGCTTTTGTTCTCTTGTCTTCCCAGTGAATTCGGAGGATGGAACGTTGGTGAAAGTTATAAAGTGCCTTGAGGTGCCTTCTGTATGTGACCCATGTCTCACTGCCATATAGCAGGGTGGGGAGGACCACTGTTCGATATACGTGCAGCTTTGTAGATAATTTCAGATCTCTACAGCTGAAGACACGATTTCGGAGTCTGCCAAAGGCTTGAGATGCACATCTGATCCGATGCTGAATCTCTTCAGCGTTGTCTGCGGTGGTGGACAGGTGAGAACCGAGATACAGAAAGTTGGCAACATTAGAGAGGGTAGTACCGTTAAGCTGGATGGAGGGTGATGGTGTGTCTGAACCAAGGGCAGGTTAAAAGAGAATTTGAGTCTTACGTACATTGACTTTAAAGCAGAAGTGTACATACGCGTCTGCGTAGGTATTCAGGATCTCCTGTAGGTAGTGTTTAGTGTTCAGAGGTCGTCTGAATACTGAAGTTCAGTAAATGAAGCTGTCGACACCTTAGTTCTTGCCTGGAGTCATCTTATGGTGAAAAGACCCCCCTTCACCCAGTACTGGATGTTCACCCTGCTGGCTAAATTGGCACTGGCACGAGTGAGGAAGGCAGCCAAGAAGATGGAAAAGAGAGTTGATGCCAGCACACACCTTTGTTTAACCTCTGTTTAGATGGGGAAGAACTCTGACTGGGTGCCAATGTCAAGGACACTGCGTTTCATGCCATCATGAAGTTGCCTCACAATGGTGATGAATTTTGATGGGCACCCAAAACGGCTGAGGGCTTCCCTGTTGACAGAGTCGAGAGCTTTGGTTAGGTCGATGAAGCCATGTACAGGTCACGACGCTTTTTTCTGCACTTTTTCTGTATCTGGCAGGCGGCAAAGATCATGTCAGTGGTGCCACGTGATGGTCTAAAACCACATTGATATTCTGGGAGAAAGTTTTCCGCCTCAGGAAGAAATCTGTTTAAGAGGACTCGGGCGATAATCTTGCCAGCTACGGAGAGCAACGAGATTCCACGTTAGTTGCCACAGTCTGACCGGTCTCCCTTGTTCTTATAAATATTGACAATGAAGGCGTCTTTAAGAGCTACAGGGATTTACTCCTTTTCCCATATATTGTCCAGGAGAGAGTGGAGACTGCTGGTAAGCAGAGGTCCTCCTGCTTTACACACCTTGGCTGGGATTCCATCAGGCCCTGAAGCTTTGTTATTTTTCATCTGTTTGATGGCAGTAGCTACCTCATCCAGGGATGGAGGATAGCTGAGTTGGGTCAGCTCTGGATGATGAGGGACCTGCTGGTTAGTCAGGACATCCACATCTGTTTCCGTTAAGCAATGCATGGTAGTGCTCTTTCCAGCGCTGAAGGAGGCCTTCTTCATCTTTAATTATAAAGTTACCATCAGATGAGTGAGGGGAGCTGCGCCACGAGTGACTGGCCCATTAAATGTTTTAGTGGAAATGAAAAAATCCCGCATCTTGTGCGAATGTGCAAGTTTTTGTGCTTCACATGCTTTATTTTTAAGCCAGTCCTTCTTTACATTGCGAAGATCCTGCTGGGCTGCCACTTTCTTCTTGCGGAAGGTATCAGCCTTTGTCCGAGACTGAGGGTTGTTCTGCCAGTCAGTAGAGGGCGGCACGTTTATCATCGATGAGTACTTTGAATGCCGGGTCATTTTCATCAAACCAGTCCTGGTGTATTCCTTTGATCTGGCCGAGGGTCTCTCTGCAGGTTTTTGTCTTAACAGTATTAAGAGTATCCCATTCGGCACTGGGATTCACGTTGATTGCTCTTGGGTTGCTTATAAGCCCATGTTCGAGCAGCTCTCTGAAAGCATGTGCTACTGCTGGGTTCTCCAGACACTTAGTATTAAAACCTCTTCTGTAGGCTTACTGCCTTCGCCGTTTTGGGGCAACGTGAAGTGAGAGCTTGGATCTGACAAGTTGAGGACATCTCGGCGATCTCTTTCTCTGACAATGATGTAGTCAATGTGATGCCAGTGTTTGGGTCATGGGTGTGGCCACAATCCCTTGAACTTGTCGGCCTGCCTAAATAAGGTATTGGTGATAGTTTTGTTGTTTGTAGCACACTTGCTGAGGGGAGTAGGCAGTTGGGATTACACTTGCCTATTCCATTTTTCCCTACATTTCCCTGTCAAATGTTAGCATGTCTGCCAAATCTGGCATTGAAGTCGCCAAGGAGCACAACCTTGTTTTCTCTGGGGTTAGAGGTTAGCACTCTGTCGAGGACGGCATAAAAGGCTTCCTTGATGTCATCCTCTGCATCCTGTGTTGGGGTGTATTCACCTATGAAGAAGGCATGACGAAAGTAATTCAGTGTGACTCGAAGCGTCATGACACGCTCATTGATCCATAGTCATTTCAGTTAGCCTGTGTAGGACGCGTTGGCGGATGGCAAAGCCAACTCCATAAATGCGGTGTCTCTCTGCATCAGGCTTACCCTTCCAGAAGAAGGTGTAGCCAGACCACCGTTCTGTGAGTTGGCCCTCATTTGAGAGCCGGGACTCACTGATGTCTGCTATGTCGGTGTTATACCTGGCCAGCTCTTTTGCCACAAGGACAGTTCTTGTTTCAGGATGCGCATTTGTACCAGTATCCAGAAGGTTCCAGACATTAGATGCAGCGACCATAGGAGGTTGTATGGTTTGTTTTTGTTTGGATCTGTGATATTGGTTGTGTTTTCGACCGCATAAGGATGACCTTACTGGGTGCGGTTGCCCAGTCAGGTTGGGGTTTTAGGCATACTATGTTTAGGGCACCTTTCCTAGCCCCCTTCCGATGTGGGGTGAGCAGAGTGGCTCCTCGAAAGGGCTGCTCAGCCGCACATACAGGACAAAATTGCACTGCTGCCTAGATCTCTTCCTGTCCCCTTCGCCACTCGTCCGTCTCCATAGGACTTTTGGGGGTATCGGGGGTTTTGATAATGATGATGAGAGATATGATGAGCTGGGTGATGGCTGCGCGTGATTTGATTTATGTGGTGAGGCAGGAGCGCAGGCTGCAACCACACATCTTGGTTGTCCCTTTTCCTGATCCAGTGGTGAAAGTCTTGC